TGATGTTAACAAAAGTATTTGATGCATTTCTGAAACTTCATGAGAATTATTTTTTTTTTAATAGCACCTAAATGGATCAAAATGTTTGTTCTGGATGAAGCTGATGAAATGTTGAGCCGTGGATTTAAGGATCAGATTTATGAGATCTTTCAAAAATTAAGCACAAACATTCAGGTAAAACACTTGTTCCGTGGATAAATTGGTGGATGCAGGTTTGGTTACAGTGTAATGGAGAACTGCTGAATTGCCTAAATCAAAGCTGGTGTCCTAAGCCTGTGCTAACACCCAGTAATGCATTTTAGGTTGTGTTGCTGTCAGCTACAATGCCAATGGATGTGCTGGAAGTGACCAAAAAGTTCATGAGAGATCCCATACGTATTTTGGTGAAGAAGGAAGAGCTGACTCTGGAGGGTATCAAGCAATTCTACATTAATGTTGAAAGAGAGGTTAGTATCAGTTGTACTTGCTCTGGCAGGATGAGTTAAACTTAAGTCTCTCACCTTCTTGTTAAAGCACTGTGCTAAAATTACAGAAACTGAGGCTGAGCTTTGGTTTCTGTGATAATGCTAGTAGAGTACACGCAAGAAGAAGAAAAACTATGCACTGGATCAAAAATGACTAGGGTGGACCTCTTTCTTAATGTCCAGTGTCCTGTGTCTTAAGATTTGGTGCAACAGTTGATGCAGAAACTGTGCTTGCCGGCTTGTTCCAACTTCTCAGGTCACACCGAGTATGCACACTGGAGCGTGCTTAATTGGCTGTTGTTTTAGAGTTTTATTCTTTGTTTGGGACTCTGGTTCTGTAGCATGATGCATTTTCTGATCGCCTTTGTTCCCTTCAGGAGTGGAAGCTGGATACTCTCTGTGATCTGTATGAGACACTGACCATTACGCAGGCTGTTATTTTCCTGAATACAAGAAGAAAAGTAGACTGGCTTACAGAGAAAATGCATGCCAGAGACTTCACAGTCTCAGCTCTGGTAAGAACTGATACTTCCACATGACTTCTGAAATGCCGTGTGCACACTGAAAAACAAGTGGTAAGGAGTGGAAAGCAGGAAAGTTATAATATAGCTGTGCAGTGCTGTATTATCGTTCCCCCTGCTTAAAGAAAACTGCTTCCTTCTATCCCTACCTGCTTTGCTCCCACAGCAGGTAGGGACGCTGGGTTTCATACATCACTTTGTTTTTTAGAGGATATTCCTATCTTGGTGTATTGGAACTGTAGTAATTATAACTTTTTAACTCTATACAGCATGGTGACATGGACCAGAAGGAGCGGGATGTTATCATGAGGGAGTTTAGGTCAGGATCAAGCCGGGTCCTGATCACCACTGACTTGCTGGTGAGTATTATCTTACACTGAGCACATTTCTGGTCAAACCTGGTGCCAAAAGCTTCGTAATTCAGTGAAGGTTCTTGTAGCCTGAACTGTTTGGAGCTTCTTGGAAGAGTAAAGACTACGCTCCACTATGGACTACACAGTTGTAGTTCATCACTAACCTTGTGGTCGACAAAAGTGTGGGATAACTAATTTAACCTAAAGCCTGTGACTTGTATTAAAGAGACTGTATTGCTTTTCAGGCTCGTGGTATTGATGTGCAGCAAGTGTCACTGGTTATAAATTATGACCTGCCGACCAATCGTGAAAACTACATTCACAGGTTAGTTGGCTCTACCCTGTAGTTGGTGTGCTACACGGAGTGTTACGTCCTCTCCAGAACCCAGCACAGAACCTCACCTGTTTCTCCCTTTAGTCCGTACCAGTAACAGGAGGTGTTACGCATCCATTCATGCCGTAGCTGCTAGAAAGCTAGCAGGAAATCAGCTACTTCTGGTTTGGCTTTAAAAACACCCTGACTTGCACAGCTATAGTTCTGAGATGAGGGAGGAGCAGAACTTTTGGACAACAAAGCAGTGGGAAAACTTAGATGTGTGATGAGTTCAGTGACGGCTAATTAAATCACTCATTACTGAGATGTGGGGAAATTGCCAGCTACTGAACTGCCATTTTGTGATGGCATGCAGGTTGTGGACTATGATTACAAAAGCCATTTTACTGGCCCAGTGTCTCGACAGCAGTGTTAGCTCAATCTGTAGGTCCTACCTAATTTGCAGTTGCTGCTGCTCAGTGACCAGACCTTAATATTTTTGGCAGACCAGTTGCATAGGACTGCCTTCGCTCCTGGAGGTGCAGCTGTGTTCATGTTTGTGTGCCTTCTCTGCTCTTGGTGGCTCCTTACAGTGGGATTCTTTTCTCTGTGGTGTGTGTCTTCTGGTAGCAATTTGAGTTTTGTTTCCCTAGGTTTAGTTAACTGCTTCTAGTGACTGTCCCTAAATTAAGTAAACTGTGCTTTGTTACTTGATGTAAAAAAATACAGGAGTCGATAGCAGCAGTTGATGACACAAGATGGTGCTCAGAAACGGCGTTGACGTAATTTAGGACGTGGATTCGTAAGCGGCACAGTTTGAATAAAGAGCGAGTCGGTATTTATATATTTCTTTTGTCATGATTATTCACTTAAGTTTTGTGAGCCATTTTTGTGTGTTTAGCTCTTGCTGCCCAGGTGCTTTACGGTGCGGTCCACAGGGAGGTGGAACTGATGGTGGGTGTAACTGGACTGTGTGTTAGTGACTGAGTTGGGCTTACGCAAAAATGTTAAGCTTGGATTTTTGTTTTAAAAAAAACAAACCAACCCTAAGTTTTCCCACTGGAAACAGTTACATTGAATTAAACTCCTTGAGTTGAGTGTGCTGTTCTGTGTTACTGGATATAATTGATTAATTTAGGAACAGTCCGATTTCTGAACAGCCGTTTACCTTTCCTACGCCCCGAGCTTGGGACCGGATGCATGTGCTGTGGGTGTCTTAGCTGAATGGAGGGGAGGGCGGCCGAGCTAGGGCTCCATACCACAGTACCAACCATTAAATAAAGCTCTTATTTTGCAGCCAAAAAAGTAACCTTTTCTGCTCTGCTACTCTCCATAGGATGGACACTTCTTCTGTACTGTTGGCACTAACTGCTAGTTTTTCCTGATCAGATGTGACTTTGGTAGCAGCTGGTTCTGTAAATGCAGCCTAAACTGGCCAGTGGCAGATAAAAGAGCAGCAGTTAATGAATGGATCTTGCAGAGGTTTGAAGCGGATTAGAGTATAGTTAACTTGTGTGTAAATGTGTTCTCTTTTTGTGCAGAATTGGCCGGGGTGGTCGCTTTGGCAGAAAAGGTGTGGCTATAAATTTTGTCACTGAAGAGGACAAGAGGATCCTGCGAGACATTGAGACTTTCTACAATACTACAGTGGAGGAGATGCCGATGAATGTGGCTGATCTCATTTAATCCCTGGGATGAGGTGGTTGTGAATGCAGTGCTCGCTGTTGCTGAATAGGCGATTCACAACGCGCATTGTGCTTCTTTCTTTGGGGATATATTGAATCTTGTCTCAATGCTCATAACGGATCAGAAAAACAGAATTTTGATAAGCGAAGCGACTTTCTGTCGTGAGCTCTTGTGGGGAAAGCCACTGGCTTTATCCACTTTAGGGTTAGACTGTTGGGGTTGGGTGGAAAGTCATGGGGTCTGTAAATTTTTTCTTTATTAGAAATTTATTTCCTAGTTCCATAGAAGTGGTTGTATTAGATGTTCTTTATCATTTAATAATTTACTTATGGACTAAAAGATATAAGTGCTGTATAAAGTCAGCCAATTATGTTAAACTAGCCTACCTTCCTTTATTGTATGTACTTACACTTCAGATTGAATTGGAAAGGCCTTTCAAAATCTCTAAACTTTTATAAGAGCATTAAAATGCATTTTTGTTTCATATGTATTTATTCAATAAAGTATTTAATTAGTGGTAAGTGTGATCTGGACCCTGTTGCTAAGCCCCAGCAAGCAAGCAATCATACTATTGTCTTAGTTAGGGTTAAACCCAGTAAAATTTGCCATATTGCACATGTCTTAATGAAGTTTGAATGTTCAATAAAATACTTCTATATTCACTTAAATTGTAACTAGTTACTTCTTGGTTAGAGGTGTGTCCTCCTTCATCAGTCCTTGGGCTGCCAGGGCTGTCTTGGCTTTTGGCAGTAAGGGCAGGGGCTGGTTTTCAGTGGTACCTTGGGCTAGTAAATGGTGAGCCTGATGTGCCAGGGGCTGTCCCTGTGAGACACAGCTCGTATGTCTGTAACACTGAACTACCCCCTGCATCGGAGTAGAAAATGGTGTGCTTTATTATAAGCACCAGCTTGATTAAAACAACCCCTGCCTGTGTTAATTACAGTTACTAGCAGCCCAAGGCCTTATTTGACTGCATTTGGGGAAGAATTTAACTTCCAAGTAAACAGAATCCAAGAAGTGTTCAGAGTAGCATCTACAAAAGGAACAGAGCCAGGGGTCCAAGCCTACCCTAAAGATGCTCAGTCACCACTGGGAACTGCATTCTTTATACTGGTAACAGCTTTAAAAATGGTTTTGTGAGACACATTCTCCAGAATGTGCTGGCTTTTAAAGTGTTGCAGTGCACTTACTAGAAAGTGATTTTTTTTTTTTTTTTATTGTTTAATGCTGAAGGGTCCAATAAAAAGATGGAGGTGGCATGAGCCATGCTCCCTCAGCAGCGGGGTTCAGCCTGAAGCCTTGTGTTTGGTAAAGATGGGGCCTTTTTGCCAAGCTGTATTTTAAAACCCAAACAATGTGGGCTGAAAAGCATCTCCATTCTTTCTCTGCTTTCACCTGATGGTGACCGAGTATACTATGTGTATGCTCATTTTTGATGCATGTACCTGTCCATGTGTGAGTCTACCACAAAGAACTGCACAGTGGGAGCATTACTGCCCCCTCAGCGGTCAAAGAGCTCTTTACCCTAGCGTGAAAAAAACTCAAATATTCCAGCATGAGCTTTTCCAACTGCTGAGCAGTTCTTTTATTGCAAAAAGCAGTACAGAAATACACAGGTCCCTGCCCTCAGACCTCAGCTGCCACAAAATGGAAAGCTGCTCTGTTAGACGTTCTGCGTTAGCTGCTGCATCACAAGGGCACAGAGACTCACCAGCTGCAGGTATTCGTCAGCACCATCAGCCAAGCATTTGTCTACTTCCTGCCAACAGAAAAGAGAAGGTAAAACTCTTAAAATGGTGGTGCTCAGGAGAGCTCTCTCTTCCCTTACGATGGAGAACACCAAGATGAAGTTTGCCTGCTGTTCACTTAATTGGCAATGACTTCAGCAGTCATGCATGATGTACCCATTATACCAAACTGGGAAAAATTACCTCTCTGGCCTCCCATCATCCTGAGGAGGCCAAGATGTGGCAGTTTCTATACCTGAGGGATGCACCATTTCCTCTCCAACTGCCTGCCAGGAGCACCGCTCTACAGGTCACCACCACTGTCTGCCTTTCTTCAGGCAATTTAGCAAAACCTCCACCACAGATGTCTTTTCTTTAGCAAGTTAATTAACTGTTTTTACACTCCACTCTGCACTTGCATATTTTACACTCCACTCTGGAACAAAAACTTGTGTTTTGCAGCTCCTGATTCGTTTAAGTGCTGACTTAAAAATCTTGCCTTAATTTTCCCTTCTACATTTATATTAAAAAATCAACCCAACCCACAAAGCTCTTGCTCAAGGATCCATTAGAACAATATAATATGGCCAATAATTCACTTAACTGGATTTCAATTCCTTCTCATGAAATTCCTCAGAACAGAGATTTAGATTCTACCAAGAAACATTCAGAACTAAAAATCGAAAGAAATCATTATGTGCACTTGTGAGAGAGAGCAAGTAAACAAAAATTAATCAGTGGAGATCGATGTGGGGGTTTTTAACTCCAGCTACAGACTTACCGCAAGTTTTTCAACTATGGCAGATTTCTGCTTGTCACTGTAATCTTCGCTCTCAACAACAGCATCATGCAGCTGGTTTACAAGCTGAGCGACAGCATAGCCTTCGTTTATGAGATTCTGCGTCAGGGACAGAAGAAAATGGAAATAATTCAGCAGCAGGAACACCACAGACTGGAAAACCAATGCGAAAAATTCTGTCTGAACTGAGAAAGACTGTACTGAAATTTATTATGGAATGTTTACATCTTAACAGATGAGTCGGTAACCCATATGCAGTCCAGCACCCTGCCTGATGGTGACCTGAAGCGAGCACCTAGGAGAGACTACAGGCATAGAGCGATGAGTTTGTCCAAGTATTCTTCAGCTTCTGACAATTTGAATCTTGGGAATTCTGTGAGCTACAGACATTTTAAGCATTCAACAACCTCCGCTGAACCTGTCCAATCTTATTCTAAAATTAGGAAAGCTTAGCATCCACAGCATCATGTGGCAGTTTTACAGCCTTCACATTTTAAAGTGCCACCTACTTTGATTTATTTTCTTCACCTGGCAGTTGCTAGCCTCAGACATACAGAGATCTGTAAGGCCAAGATATTTTTAATAAAATAAAAACCATGGCAACTAAAGATAGCTCTTTTTTAAGCTAGTAGTGTCCAGTTACAAAACTGGCAAATATTGGGAACAGTAGTCCACGAGGCCATTCAGGCACAGAGAAGTTTATGAAAACAGGAAAAAAGTTGGTGCAACCTTATTTTTCTGTACAGCAAAATACACCCCCATGCTTTACAGAAGTACACGTCCAAATTTTGTCAACTGCATATCAAGCACTGATATTTGAAACAAACCCCCACCTACTCTAGAAACTGGAGAACAGTTCCAAACCACTACATTAGATTAGATCATGGTCTGATGGAAGACTATACCAGCTCTAAGGATTTAGAAAATCTGTATCATCACCTCTCAAGATCAACACATCATCATAAGTAAACGTGAAAGTGTAAGGCTGTGACATCTGCACAAATCCTGGCACAGCAATTCTAAGATTTGCAGCAAGTTTACAGGAGAATAAACCCAGCCGCAAAACCAGAGGTCCTGCCAAAACTGTCCCATGAGGCTCAGCCAAGCAAAAAGCAGGAGGTTGACCAATACTGGCTTTTTTCACACAGGCATGGAACATGTCCCTGGGAGAATGGCGCTATGGCATGCTCCCCTCTGTCAGGGACAACTCCCCGATTTAAAATCCAGTTCAAGACTGTCTGAGCCTCCTTTTAACTCAGCGGATTAGGAATTTCCCATTCTTCAAAGACTCTAAGAACCTTTTCTGTGTTAAAGAAAATAAATCCACCTCTATAAACCAGTAGCTTGTGCCTTCTCCAGCAAGATCTATTTTAAGTCACTGCAGTTTGTAAGACAAACTTCCTCACTAGTGTACCGTAAGATTACTAAGAAATAGTTTAAAAGTGAAGACTTATTACAGCTTTACTCAGATCCTTCTCATCTAACACAGCTTCCGTGTAAGAAAGAAGGTGACTAGTCCAGAGACTAGTCCATTCCCCTGAAGGCGCAGTTCTACGGGCCTGAGCCAGTGTCTCACTAGGAATTCCTACTCTGCCTAATTCAGCTTAACAGCTCCACGTGTCATCAGTTTCACTCAGGAGAAAGCCAGAGTCACACTGGTAGGGAATCTTATTTGAAAGATCCCAGTACTGACTGGTAAGAGACATGCTTCCTGAAATGTGCATCCTAACCGACCTGAGGCCTAAAGTTCTTCAGCTGCCACCCAACACCAAAGGATTCACAGGGCAGTGACCTGGAAAAATATCCAGGCTAGAGCACTAAGAGGACTCTACCTTTGCCAGTGTTTCCAGTTTCTCAAAAAATTTAGGGATGACCTGTAATGAGAATTTACATGTCTTAATTTCAACTTTCTAAACTTAAAATTGAAGTTGATGCTTATAGTAACAGGTATGAACTCTTCATGCAGAAGGCTGTTTTAGCATTGCATTCTTCTAGACACCAAACCACTTTCAAGCAAGTATAGAAGATAGACTAGCTAAATTTTAAGAGTGAGAGCTAGGCGGTAATACTCATCCTATACTGGAGATTTTAAAATAAAAACGATATAGTGTCAGTGAATTGTCAAAGTCACCTTCATAAATTCAATATACCATGGCTTATTCAGGGCACTGACTCAGTGCAGGACCTACTTCAACAATTAGATCAGCCAACACTTTCTGTACCTTTCTACACTTAAGCAAAACAGCAAATCAGTAAACAGCAAATCAGTTTTCTCTCCAGTAACGCACCGGGGACATTAAAAAAAAAAAAAAAAAGCCCAATGCAACAAGGACAGACAATAAATCAGAAGAAAAAAAAAGCTGACAGATGCCATTATTTAGCTCTGAGCAGGGAAGCACTGCCCATATTCTCCTCTCTACTCATTGTCATTCCTGTCTGTTGAGTGGACAGTTGGGTTTCAAAGCTGCTCTATTAATCTTTTGTGCCGCGGTCATTCCAGGGTCACAAAAGTTATGTACGACCAAGAACTTGAAGTCTTTCTGAAGATGTAAAGTTGGGTTCCTTTGGTTTAACCAAGCATTATTCAGTAATGGAATCTCATGCTTCTCTTTCCTATCATTACAGTCAAGTTCTGCCAGGTTTCTTAGAAATTGTGATTTACGGATAACTGTAAGTGAAATGCAGCTCTTTTCCACAGCTACATACGCAAACCTGAACAACGAATTCACTGAGAAAATTGTTTAGAACTCTTCTGTAAAACACGCACAGTAGCAATTGCCTCTGGTTCCAAAAAAGCGAAAACCCCACAACCTTTACAATTAGCTATGATGGTGGCACCTTCAAGGGAAGTGTGTCCATCACCAAAGTCCATTATTTTTCAGCTCCTCAGCTCCTAATCTTACATTTCTTGCTTTAGGGGGTAAGTGTTTTGTTGCTATAGGAACACCTTCACACAAGTTTTATTAAGCGCATTTCCTCTCAGGGTTCTCCTGTCCCCGCCATTATTATCTATGTCATTCTAGAAGAAATCGCTGCTGTTTTGTTAAAAAGCAAGATCCTGCACAGATCCTTGGAGAGATGCTGTCACTGTGAACGTTAAGTTGAAAATAAGCTGCTGCTGAAAGTCACTCCCCCCTGGTGTTTCCAAACCATATTTTGCAATGATCTATACTTACATACACACTTATACATATTTACACACACACACATATAAAAATTGCCAAAAAGATGTTCTAGTCTACTGCCCCACAAAAGGCAATAAATTTTGCATTTGTGGTAGAATGTTTCAACTTCAGTTTGAATATAAGACTATTTTACAGTTTTTCTTGACTTACAGAATAAGTTGCTAGAAACTTGCTATATAGTGAGTGTACAGAACCAGGCAGTCTTTAGAATTCTGGTGGACAGTGTATCAGTACCATACTGCAATACTAATGGGTATAAAACAATCTTTTAATCAAACTTTGAGCAAAGGTAGCTACAGGTAGCAAGTACACTTACTGCACAAATGCTTTTCAGACTAATTACAGGAGAAACTGCCAAGCATAGCTTACCCCAGCAATTTCTGTGACTATCTTCTCTGTGATCTCTTTCCCGCCCGTTAGGCGAGTCGCACTTTGAAGAAAAGTAATTGCTTTTCTTAAGTCCCCTTCTGACACTTTAACAAGGTAAGATACTGCCTGAAAAATAATGTTGAAAATGCCATGTTATAAGTTCTCTGTTAATTAAAATCCATTACGCTTTCTCAGCACATTGATTTTAAAACATCAGGTAGTGCCTAAGGCAGATTGTCAGAGACAGGCACAATACACAAATTACAAAACAATCTCTCTACTAATATAAATGCGTGCTGGCAGTTTCAGAATGAAACATGGTTTAATGCAAGTATACTCAGCACAGAACAATAAGCCCTACAGTTCAGTTTTGCTTCAGTTTTCTCTGGTGGACATTTCTCTGGTTTTAGCAAGGCTCCTAAAATTCCCTCTATGGAAGGAAAATAATATTGAAATGAGTTTATATATTGTATTTAACACAATTAAGCAGTCTGGAAAGGTATGCTGACTTAGCCCCTTTCACTGTAATGCAATTATACACTGGATTAAGCAATAAAATTCCATGGCAACCATGAAGTTACCTCACTACTGATTTTCACATGTTCCTTCTCAGAAACCTCCAATAGCCTCTGCTGTTGGATTTTGTCTGACAAAGGCTTGAAGCGGAATTTGGAGCATCGAGATGTTAGAGGCTCAATTATTCTGAAAAAAAAGGAAGGTAAGTGCTCGGTAACTGAATGCGTGCATCAGGTTCATACAGACAAAGCTATCAAGGCAGAAAAGTGCAGCATAACCTTAAAAAATAACTGTAAAAAAATAGAAGTTGATACCTAAAAGTTGTCTTCAGTCTTATATTCAAATAGTCTCATCTCTATCAACTCAAAACTATGAAAACTAGATATCAACCTCTCAGTGAAGGCAAAAAAAAAAATAAAAAAAGAGTATAGAATAGGAAAAGCAACAAGTCCAAATAAGCAACGAATTCCACACGTACCTGCTGATGTAGTTACAAATAAGACAGAAACGTGTTGTTTTAGATTCTTTTTCCATTGTGCGTCTTAAGGCTGCCTGGGCTGCTGAAGTCATTGAGTCTGCTTCATCCAGGATTACAATTTTAAAAGGAGGACAAACTTTACCACTGAAAAATAAGAAATCTGTTATCCAGGAGACATGCAATGTACAGACCAAGAAAAAAAAAAAATCACTGCAAACAGCAAGTCACATTTTAGTTATTTATAGCTCATAAATAGAACATATTCAGAGGGTCAATCTTTTTTATTACTTTCAGATAAAGGACTAATACTTGTACGAAAGGGGAGGACTGAGTTCCCATAGAAAGACCAACACTTGAGTACTGCAAAACTCCTTCAAAAAAGGTACTTTTGCTTTAAGTTTTTCTTTTAACAACTAATGCAGCTCTTCTTTTTACAGGTTTCCTGATTCCCTGAACTTTAAAGAATGCTGCAACAAACTAATTTCAGTATACAAGGCTGTTTCTTGCCAGATAGTCCTGGTATGCAGTTTCTTCCAGCTACTTTCCACAATCTGTTTTTTCTACATATGTGGCTTCACCTGCACAGGGCTTCTCACCACCTAACACCACAGTTTTGTTAGCATCTTATAAACTAGCAACCATCTTGCATGAGATGCAGATTAGAAGTACCAGAGAAGTAACTTCCACTATAATTTACCCAAACAAGCTTTTCTGTGGTAGCCAGACAACAGCTGCAAAAGCAACAATGTATCACCAGATTCAGAAGGCTCCATATTTTGGGTTTTCCCTGTCTGCCTCTCTCTGTCTGTAACAGCACTAGTAGAAGTTCCTCCCAGGTATTCAAACACTCAACATGAAACTGCATGAAGTCAAAGCTTAGCCGAAGCACTGTGTTGCAAACTTCTGGGCAATGCTGACCCATCATTTATATTAGAATTATAAAGTTAACCCAAACAAAAACAACCACATGCTTTGTCCTAAGCAAGAAAGTCCATGAGAGACAGCTTTGATCGAGCACTTACTCTGAACGGCTTCCAGATGCAGTTAGCTGAGCGAAAGCCTTCACTTTTTCCCGAATCACTTGTATTCCACGCTCATCAGAAGCATTCAACTCAAGGACTCTTTGTCGGAACAATTCAGGCCTGCAAAATTTTTATTACAACATGTTAGCTGCTAACACTTGCAATGATACATTATAAAGTATATCAACAGTCCTTCTGGCCTTTTCAAATGGCAGGTATTATTTTTGCCAGCAGGATACTTTGTTAACAGACAGTTAAATAGAGATCATTAAATGTTAGGTACAAATTTCCATAACCTATTTCTACAATTGCCTCCCAGACTGCAGAAACAGCAAAGTGTAAAATTACATCAGTTATTCAGAAAAAAAAAAGAAAAAAAAAGTAGGAAGTTGGCTTTATAAGTCCACAGCACTATATTATATACCTTCTACTTATATGCTGTGAGCAATGTAGAAGAACAAGTGAAATGCCCAGACACAGTCCCTGGCAGTGCTCTGCCATTGCAATGCTACCAGAAAGAAATATTTAGAAAGTATAATATAGGCAGTATTTAGCAGCAGTACTATAAAGCAGCACCTCTGATTACAAAAAAGAAAAAATGACTATAGTGGATTTTAAGTTCTGGGAATTCACATGGACGCACAATGTGGAGTTATCTTCCTACTATTAAACTAGAAGTGGTTCTTTCCAAAAAGCATGAGCCAAAAATTAAAGACACTGACGGGGGTCAGGGGAAGGGACTAACCTCAACATTAGATTTGCTCATGACATCAAACCACCTTTGCATCAATTTTTGCTTATGGGTCGCTGAATTCACTACCCAAAACTCCCAAGAGTTACAAGTGAGGTGATGAAAGTACACACACTGGATTTTAGTCTGACTCCCAGTTTACTTCCAGGTACAATTCAATGGTGCCTAACTGAAAGATAACAATGCAGACGTTCTAGGAAGCACTTTGAGATCTCTGTGTAGCTAACAACTTACTGAATATAGCATTAAAATTGGAATTCCTTTACAAAGTTCAGTAAGGCATATGCAAGCCATTTCTTTTTATATTCTGCTGTGGGGTTACACGGCTGCTAGTCTCATGTGTTGTAGGTCCGTACTGGTAACAGAAATCAGTGGCTCGTGACAGGACAAATAAGAAAGAAATTTCACATTAGAGCTGAATTAGAATGTGAAGATATTCCTGAAAAAGACCTAGGAGCTACATAAGAACAGGCAATGACCAGAAGCAATCTGTCACATGATTAAAAGACATGTGACCATCGATTACACCAAAGCAACTTGATTCCAGCTTACCCGTAGAGTTCTCTAGCAGCTGCTAAAATAGTAGAAGTCTTTCCAGTTCCAGGTGGGCCATAGAACAACAGATTGGGAAGCTGAAAAGGCAAGGCACCTTTTTTAAAAAAAGCAAATCAACAAACCAAACCACAAACAGGAAAATCTACTGAAAATCTGAGCACCTGATGGAACAGAAACTATCTACTCCTCCTGGTAAATAATATCAAAGTCTTTCACTTCTAGGTCATTGCACATAGTGCTCTAAAAGAGGACAAACAGTTCCTCTTTATAACACAGCATGAACAAGCTGTTATTTGATGTTCACCATCACATACTTCAATTTCTATTTTATTTTGATATATTCCCTCCAGGTCATGTCTGAGATCACTAAAGCCTACAGAACTTACTGTTATGACTGCAGTGACATGCAAATTTATCCAAGGATGCCCTTCAAACAATCCGGATACTACTAGCAGTGCAGTTGTGACAAAATTTAGCACAGGTTAACTATCTTGTACTTTCTCAGCTCCCTAGACTGCCTTTTCAAGCCATGGTGAGAATTCTGTGCTGCCATTAACTCCACTGCAGTAAGTATAAGGTAGCTGGTGAATGCCTGCACTACATTGCAGTGAGTGCAATGCAGACATACCCTTACGCTAGTCACAGAGACGCTTGCAATGACTGACCATAATACATAGCGCTGGCAAATTTCTACATCCATCCAATGATTTTTCAAAGGAGGAGACCAGTGGCATTTCTTAAAGAGATTAGTTGAACTGATCTTTCAAATAATCTAATTAATAACCTCAGCATGAAAAACAGGAATGCATTAAAAAAATACGCTGACACAGGAAGATGAAAGCAGCACAGCAAAGACCGCTGTAATGATATAGGATGACGTTTAGCAGCACAAAGCATAAAATCTCACAATCTGAGACTATAACTAAATATCTGCTAGATGTCTGGAATTCATCAACTGGAATAAAATACAAGCTGACTTTGTTTTGTCTGTCAGTCAGAGGAACAGTATAAGACCGTGTAACACAGTGGTACTAGGATGTGCAGTTTCAACACATGAGGCTAATAAGACTTCATGTGGAAATCTACACACAGTTCATGTCACCCTTAGTCAAGGATCATGAATCCAAACTGGGAAAGGTGATTAAAGGAAAGAGGAGCCTATCTTATGAGAAGTGGCTTTTTTAAAGTTTGATTTAGTTAGCTCAGCAAAACAAAAGCTGAGAGGAGATATGACTGATCTCCATAAATTTATGAGAGCAACACAGGGACAAAGAGCAAAGTTGGCATAAACAAAATTTGCATAAGTTACCCATGAATAAATTTTCGCTGAAATCAAGAAGCTTTCTAATTAGCACAGGAGCAATAGCTTTCTATATTACTATTTCAAGTAATTCCTCTACAAATTATCAGGCCGACTTTAAAACTGCTGCCTTTGGCAATTGGGGATATTCCAGTTGTAAGTTCTAGGAACAAAAACTCCAAGACTCCCCTCTGATCAATAGCAAAAAGACAAACCTCTCAGTCTGACTTGATTTCTTGCTCTTAATAAAAATTCTATTTTTAAAGAGTCAACTAAAATTAGGTTAGAGAATTTCATGCTGAATATAGCAAGTAATGCAGACAGAATGGGAACAGCAAAACCAAAGACATCCAAAGAGCACAGAAAAATGCAGGAGTACACAATCCCTAATCAGAAAATGAAATACAGACAGACCAGTTTGGTAAATAGCGTCCCATTTTAACAGCTACAATAATACACAGAGAAAAGATTCAATTGTGTGTGTACTGGAAAAATACAGCTAGAAGAATTTCAGTCTTCAATCAATTTCGAGTATATAAATCCATTTCAAGTTTTGCCTGCTCTTTCTGCCAATCATTCATTGCTTGTTTCTCTAGTTACTAAAACGTAAGCAGCGTTCAGTACTAACAAATGTTTTTTCAAGTTCAACTAGATAACACAACATTATTATCCCCCTGTATCTTTTAGGAAAGCTCCAGGGAGAGGAAATGTTTACTGAATGATAGCTGAATATTCACCAACAAGCATGCCAGGTTAGCACACTGCAAGGGTAGACATTTTCATGGAGATTCATAATTTCATGCCTGTGTGCTAATTTGCATTCTACTAGTTCTCAAAACAAGCATTAGCAGGTAAGAAGTTTTAATAAGAATCAATTTCCTAATTCCATTAAACCCATACTCTACTACAGTTTCTGTTTCAACCTCGTTTAGGCTTGTTTCTCACTGAAGTTATCAGCAGTATTTACACTACCTTTTCACCAAGCACAGCCTAATCCTTTATGTAACTGCGGCAGTATTTTTAAACAGACTGCAACCTGATCTGGTTATCCATTTTTCCATGCTTGCCAGGGGTAAGCAGAACACCTGCAGGCATCATCCTGCTTATGGGAAAGTTACCACATATAGTGCAAACACCAAGTCCTTTTCTAGAAGTTTCAGGACGTAAATTGCAAAGCTAATCCTACACCTCATGCTCTTTTCAGTTATTATGATGTCATCAAGTAAATGAAAATTAAAGAATACTATGACACTTGTCAGTTTCTTTGCAAAAAAGCAACAACAAATCAACAGTCTTGGCAGACAGAAATCAATTTCTCCAGCTCAAAATCACTTGGACTCTGGTCTCCCCAGTTTATAACAGAACAGATGCTTGCTATTACAGATGGAAACATATCAGGGACTTAAAAGGCCTGCTCTATTTAGCAGCTCCCAAAGCAAGGCCCACAAATACAGGCCAACCAACAAAGGACTGGCTCTCCATTTTCAACACTAGGGTTTAAATAAAGAACATTACACAAACCTACAGTGCTGTTACAGCTGTTTCTCTGATCTCCTCAGATCTCTAAATTCAATAAGAACTTCTGAAATAAGTACCAGCCACCTCAGAGTTTAAATTACACTTTTGCCTTTTTGATGGAATGAGTCCTTTCAAGAACTAACAAAAAGTCTAAATTTTAAAAGCACCAAATATTTCAGAGTACGTGCATGATTTTGCTCTCAAATGCCTTGCTGAGTTTGGGTACCTATGGCAAAATACAAAGCCTGTAACCATAAGCAGAAGTTACAATTTGTCTTCAACTCAGGAGGCAAAAAGTCAACACAAGTGTACAGGCTCATAATCCGAGAAACATTGCTGATCTAGAAGCTCTAAGGTTTTAAATAGCTGTTGCTCAAAATAGAACTTCACAACCCATCACCTAAGCGATGTTACATGACTGATACGTCCAGACAGAATAGGTGGCAGCACCTCATTTCTCTTTAGCTGTTAATAGTTTCTTGCTAATTATCTCAACTGTACAAATATTATAATATAGCAGAATTGCTGTTGAAACCCAGATTTCTATGGGTACATTACGTGGCACGGTCACATTACAACAGCATTCTCAAAGTAAAATGAATCTGGAGACATGAATTAAAGAAACTAATTATACAAGTCTCCCAGTTCTGTCATAACAGCTTCATTTTGGCTCCCTATACTCAAACAAATAAAGTACTTCTGCTTTTGCAAGTTCTGAGAAACAGACTTATAGTAGTCAAAACCAGAACTGCAAAGTCCATTGTCATAAGATAAAATTTTCAAATACCAAAGACTACCTGTGCATACTGCACATCAGAGCACGCTACAAATGAAAGGCTTCTAGCATAAAACTCTGAAAATTGTCCAGATTGTTCCTTTGAGCTCTTGGTGAGCAGCCAGCCATATCAGAAATGTCATTTTCAGAACATCCACCAAGTACTTCAGCTGGCATTAGCAGTCCATGAAAAGAGAAACAGCTTTTGGAGCACAAGAATGACCCTTCTAGGTGCAATGTGGAGCAAAAAAAAAAAAAAAAAAGTCTCAGCATGTACAAAGGAAGGAATTATCCAGGTTTGCAAGAAAGTACAGCCATCTCTTGGCTACCTACTTTATTTCCCCTTCAGTCCTTCCACTTCCCCATCATCTGGTTTGGAGGAAATAACTTTGAATATTTTCTGAATTTTTTATCCAAAAGCAAATGCAAGTGTAAACAAAAGCAACTGAAAATGCTCTGCTCATCCTCTTTATATTCTTAGGTCCCAGGTGCCAACACTGCAGTGAAGTTAGTGAAATTGTCATACTTAGCCTTTTAAAGCCAAAAAGACTTAACTTGGAAACTCTAAACCAAGAAGTTTGGGGATCACTATATAAGTAGTAGACCTGGCACTTCTAACTTCAGCTTCCCTCATTAGCAAAGCACTGACAGATCACTAGAACTATTTAGGAATGACTGGCAATCTGGCCTTTTCTATGAAAGAAAAATTTCCCCTCTCCTCTCAAACACAAATGTCAAAAGTACTAACTGAACAGTAGTGTAGACACAACAAAAGCCTTTCCAGATTTGAAACTATTAACAGGAAGTTTACCAATTAAGCTTTTCCAGAAAAATTCCAAACTGCATCACAGAGCCAACAATTTTACAATGTTTAAAGGGCTGGAAACGTCACAAATTTTACACATATATCACAACATACTACAAGGAAGCCACTTAAGTTGTTTCTAAAGCACCACTGTAAAAATAATCATTGCTGAGTTAGAAAAAAAGAAGTTTTTGTTACTCCTGGATAAAGTTTCTGCCTAAACATACTGATGGGGTAGATGTTATCATTACACTCACATCAGCACCTTCCAAGGACTTTTTCAGCACAGCAACAACTTCATCCTGGAAGGCAACTTCATCCACATTTTTGGGGCGACTAAATACAAAGACAGTAAAAGCAATTTATTAGCTAACAAAGTTTCAGAAGAAAATTGAAATTGAGAAAAGCATTTCCCCTCCAGATTACATCAGGTACTGAAGAACTACAGCAAATTGTGCAGTTGAGGTCAAAATCATAACAGGAAACCCGTCTAATGCCTCTGGTCTGTATAACTGAAGTGATCTAATTTCTCAGGAAGCTGTTCGTCTACTTCTATTGTAAACATCAGCCTGATATGTTTTTAGAAGCAGAACTGTATCACAGACTGCAATATTTTACCACTTCATGAGCTGATACATGCTTTTCAAAACTGAAGCATGTAACACACTTCTGCACCAAGCCACAGCGATGAAACCACACTGCTTGACACAAGCAACGGAGGCATTTTCTGCTCAGTAGCACCAACAGAGGGCTCTTACAGTAGTTCACAGTGCTGGTTTTCCCCAACAACTGCAAAAGTTAAAGCTGTTGTCGCAGGTGGAGACACCTACAGCTGCAGCCCCCTTTGCTCTCTCTTCCACAAACCCCCTCCAGAGCCAAACCCCCCCTCACGACCAGCCACTGCCACCCCGGCCAGCGACCCCGCTGCCCCAGAAGAACCCTTACTATTTCTCCACCCAGGGGATAGGCTTGAGCCTCTTGCACTCCCCGCTGCTCCCCGCTGCGGCCTTCTCCTTGGCAGCGGGGGGCTTGGTGCTGATGGAAGACGGGCCTTTGAGGAAGGCCTGCATGGCTCCGACTGGGCCGGGCCGGGCCCTTCACCTCACAGCCTTCCCCCCCTCAGCCAGACCGTTAGGCCGAGCGGCGCACGAGCCCACAGCACCACAGGCCCCGCCAGCCCTTCC